AGGCATGTTTTGTTTTGTTTTTTCTCTACAGAGGCATAGTTTGGGGGATTCCTTTTGGAGGTAGGAAGAGCTTTTCTGAGAGGATTGTGTGTGGTGTGTAATCCGTCTCACACAGTCTTTCAGGGGGAGCTCTCTTGGTCCTAGAACACAGCTTGCTGGATTGTGTGTGCGTCATAAGAACTGACAAGCTATGAGAGAAAGATCAAGATTTGCTGGATGTATTGGTTTGCAAAGTGCAAGGCAAGAAGGGCCATGAATGAGACTGGATTGTAAAGCCTGTAGACCAGAAAGGATATGGTTAAGATCTGGTAAAGGAAAGGAAAGCTGGAAGTTAGATAAGACCTAGAAGGAATTGTTGGGATTCTAAAGAGCAACCTGTTGGAAAAAGTATTGCCATTAGAGTAGAGAGAGAATTGCTAGATGGAGAGACCTGTTGAGGAATGAGAGAGATTCTTTAAAGGGGGTTTGAGAACAGACTCAGAGCAGGAGAGTGGAGAGTTTGGTCCTGGGTATGACCTGAAACTGCTACCCTCCTAGGTGTGGTTATTGTGGTGGAGCTACTCGTAGCGGGGTAGTCTCTGCAAAATGCCGCATAATAATCACCCTGGGGAATGGGCAGGTGGGAGTATAGGGCACCTTAAAACCCTAGCTCCCATTGCTTTGTGGGTTACCCTTCATTGGGAAAAGGCTAGGGGGATCATACCCCAACAGGAAAACCCTTGGTGAAGACCAAGGAAAAGAGATGTGTGGCAGAAATACACCTTAGTGCCACATTGAGAGGAGAGCGGAGGAGAGAGTGAGAATGAAATTTTAGAAATGATTGCTTTATAGCAGAAAGGAATATAGCAACCTTGAAAGAAAGTTGTAACTTGATCTCACAGAGTGTCTGAGGTGGTTAAGTAAAATACCTTCTATTGCTGGTCCCATAAGAAGTCAGTAGCAAAGAATATTAACCCCTGTGCTGGAAACTGTGTGAATGTTTATAACAGAAGCAGCGCCTAAGGAGCCTCATGAGTGAGCAGCTTTGCAAAGACTGTTAAGGTATTGGTGCAAAACAGAGAGTGTGAGCAGTGTGGTACTTTTTCTCTGTGTGTGTCTTGCAAGACAGAAAAACTGCTGAAAATAAGTATTTGCAATCTCATTGGTAAAGGGGGTGAGAAATGTTTTGGTTTTTTACCTCCCAGCGCTCTTCAGAAATAGTGTGAATCTTTTAGAGAGGAAAATGATAACCACTTGTTAAGACAAAAAAAGATTGTTCTAAAAACTCAGTGTCAGCTATTAAGGCTCTAACTGTAATTGATAGGATTAATCAAGACAAGCAAACGAAGGCATTTCTTCAGGCATAGGCAGAAAGAATTAAATGTGGCAGGATACAGGCATGTGTTTTAAATGAGAACTCAAGCTTTCCCCCACAAAGGCAGTGTAAATATTCACTAGAGGCTGAAATAAACTATCTACTACGAGTTATAATAGATAGTTTAAGTTGGGAAATGACAGTATAGATGTTTAATATGTATAGCTCCCTGATTTTGGTCTGTTTTGAGGGCAAACAAGAAAACCTGAAAACTGACAATAAACTTAAGAGCTTTAACAGTAACAACTGTTGTAGCTCCTGGTATAGCAAAATACTTTCAAGTTCCAGCAGCTATAGCAGAAGGGGTAAAATTATTTTTAATACTGAATTTGGCTAATATAATATTTTGGTTACTTCCTTAGCACAAAAGTGCTGGTATAATTTGGAACTGATATTCATGGGAACAATAGTATTGTTTTATCCAAATACCTTAAAGATTTTGTAATGTCCCAGCATAAAGATATGGACAAAACTTTTTAAATAACAATTCTGAGGGGAAAACTGTCCCTCTAAAAGGAAAAAAATATTTTTAAAAAGGCAATTTCGTTTAAAATGTAACAAGAGTATTAGCATCCCTTGATCTTGCATTGGAAATTTTTTTTTGTAAAGGTCCAAATTCCAATTGCCAAAACGGTGCAATGAAGCCACTGAAAACAGTAAAATAAATGTAAATAATCCTTGTCACTTAATATATATGTATATATACAAGAAAAACACCCCAATAATTGTAATAATATGTGCATTGTTACTGCACATCAGCATTGTAAATTTGTAAATATGAATAATATTTTACTGCAAGGAGTTTTCCTTGGCAGGTTTGTGTGTATTTGTTTTCTTTTGCAGAAGCTATAGCATAACATTCAATCTAGTAGCAAATGTGACTGATAGACTAGAGGCCTCATTACCATCAACAGCATTTTCTTCACCTAAGCCACAGTTTTATCACCACAGCAAAAATTCTGCTGAGAGCATGAAACCTGCCAAGTTTCAAGAAGATCGGTGCAGGGGTTTGGGGGGAACTGTACCCCAAATTCTTGAAAGCCAAACTCATGTCACATCTATGTTACACCACAGGGAGGTCAAAACTGCAGGGCTGGTAGCTCTTACTGAGGCCACAAAGCCTGCCAAGTTTCAAGATGATTGGTGCAGGGATTTGGGGGGGAACTTCCCCTCAAGCTGCAGGCAAGCAAAACTCATGCCATGGGTGACACTGTGTGTGTTAAGGCACAGCGGGGTGACAGCTGCAGGGATAGTAGCCCCTGCTGAGGCCATCATGCCTACCAGCTGTCAAGGAGATGGTGCAGGAGGGTTCTGGGGCCTGGCTGCTGACAGGCAAAACTGGTGCGAAGACTGTATCTGTCTTGGGGCGGTTGATTGTCTATATTGATTCTTTCCTCTTCTTATCCTGGTTTTGTAGGTGCTAATCGATGCTCGTTAAGTCGTTATGTAGTAGCTAGGTCCTGTGTATTGAGCTGGTCCCTGAGTCCCTGGTCCCTGAGTGAATCATGATTGATTGATTGATTGGTAACTGGGAACACAGCAGCTTAGCAGCCAGGCCTGCAGCAGTGTCTCCCCTCCCCGCCCCAAGACAGACACAGCCAGTCCCATTGCCATGGCACCAGTTTTGCTTATCCACAGCTTGAGGGGCAGTTACCCCCAAACCCCTGCACAGATCTTCTTGAAACTTGGCAAGCTTTGTGGCCTCAGTAAGAGCTACCAGCTCTGCAGTTTTGACCCCCCTGTATTGTAACACATAGACCTGAAGGAGTTTTGCTTTCAAGAATTTGGGGTGTCGTTCCCCCTAAACCCCTGCACTGATCTTCTTGAAACTTGGCAAGCTTTATTCTCTCAGTGGAGTCTACAATCCCTGAAAATTTCATCAAAATCGGACAAAAAACAACAAAGTTATAGACATTTTATTGTTTCCCCATTATACCCTATGGCTGGATCTCCGAGGTGGCTCCGAAGCTCTTCGGAAGCTCCGAACCCGTTTGGGAAGCCTAACAAGGCCAGCGCTTCAACCTGGATGTGCTGCTTCAGACCCTGAAGCATCCAAAGCTTCTCAGGATCCGAAGCTCTGTCCGAAGCCTCGCACAGCCCTACTAACTGTCTTAGTCCAGTGGTATATGAAATACAACTGGGGAGAAGAATCAAGAATCAAATGTACTCTTTGTATGCTGAATGTGTCAGAGAATGGGTGACATCGTGCCCCAGAACAGTGAGAGAACAACAGCAATTGACCTTCGAGGAAGAACACAGTGATAACCCAGCAAGAGCCAAGAGGACTGGGTGAATTGACAAGACTCTGGAAGATGGGGCGAGACATATCAATTTTGGGTCTTGTTCTGCATGTCATCCTGGAGCATCAGTTTGTCTGATAAGATGGACTGGCAGAAGCCCGGCTCCTACTTGTGATCAACTTGGCTGGCCACTAGCTACTATATATTATCAGAGAAAGGGGTGAAAAGGAAGATAGAAAGTAGCAGGAAAATAGTAAATTATAGACCTACTTCATATTATTGTGCTTAGGCAAGGATGTATTGTAATCCAGGATTTCAAAAACTAAGATCTAACCTATGAACCATATGAAACTGACATACATGTGGAGTGGTGTAGCTGAGAATTGGAAGAGCAAAGGATGTTTGGATCAGAGATGTCAATTAGAAATGCTCTGTGTATGAGAGAAAGAAAGAATGCCTGCAAGAACTGTCTAAAACTGGTAGTTCCCTGTGGAAAGGAGAGGAATAATAAAGACATTTGGAAGTCAGAAGTGAGGCATTTGGCAGAACTGGTGATGGGGAAGCATGAGCAAGTAAGGCTTGAAACAGCAGAAGAAAAGGTACAAGACAGAGAGCCATGCAGGAAGACTAAGCAGGTAGCTCAATGAGTCAGGATTGAAAGGTGCTGTCAGAGCTGTGTGGGAAGAATTTACTACTAGGTCAGAATGAAGAAGGCAAGGTTGTAAACATTTTTCTCTGGTCATGTTGTTCTGGAGAGAAAGTAACTATTCTAACTAGAAAAGTCAGTAGACAAAATAAGTACAGGTGTAAAACTCAAAGCTTCTGAAAAAACATATATACATATATAAAATGTGTGTGTGTGTGTGTGACAGCCTAAACAACAATTTAGACAAGAGCACAGAAGAAGCACTGAAGAGCAGGCCACTGAATTCATTGCTTCCTGACTCCTAAACCTTGCAAGCTCAAACATTTGCAGCTAATATTCTTCTTTAAAAAAATAGGATACAGAAAAAGCCCTGTTCTTAAAAGAGTTAGAAACTGTGGTAACTGCTTCTGTTTCCCCTCCCCTTCCTTCCCCCCGTCAATAAATGCAGAAAGCCGTCTTTCTGGTCAAATGAAAATGCAAAATGAAGATAAAAATCATTGAAACCAATCATATTTCACACACACACACACACCTCTCTCCCCTCCCCACTCCAACCAACTACTAAGCAAACTCCTGACTTGACTGGATTAGACAAAGATGCTTCCGTTGCTCACCTACTTCAGCTTACACGATTGGTTAAGAGCACACAGATGGTGGTATTTAAGTTGTTTCTTACAAGAGCTCTGCTATGTCCCTTGCAATAAGAGTAAGGCTGGAGACAACTATGTCAGAGATGGACAGTGAATATCTTTACCCTATGATGACTGGGACCAGCTACGTCGCTTATGATGACTACAGCCTTCCCACTGAGAGTCCTGAGGAAAGCTGCCAGGCTGAGCCTGTGCCACATGCGAACATTTTCCTTCCTCTGCTATATGCCATCATCTTTGTTGTGGGAATTATTGGCAATTCCATCCTGATAGCAGCTCTCTTCAGACGAGGAGTTCAGAGGCTGATTGACGTCTTCATTGTCAATTTAGCTGCCTCTGACTTTGTCTTCCTTATTACACTGCCACTCTGGGTAGACAAGGAGAAGTCAGGAGGCAACTGGAGGTCAGGCTCCTTTCTCTGCAAGGGAAGTTCCTATGTCATCTCAGTCAACATGTATTGCAGTACCCTGCTCCTCACTTGCATGAGTACTGACCGGTACCTGGCCATCATGCACCCCTTTGTTGCCAGAAAAGTGAGAACAAGATTCAATTCCATTGGAATGTGCATCTGCGTCTGGGTGCTATCCGGCTTCCTGGGGCTGCCAATCCTCCTGACTAGACAACTGGTTCTAGACAAAGAGACTGGCAAGTCTCATTGCACAGACAGTGACCTGATGCCCATGAGGTGGATTACATCACTGATCATTTTGATTCTGGCCTTCTTTTTCCCCTTGCTGTGCATCTTGACCTTCTACTGCTCTGTGACAAGGAAGCTCTGCATGCATTATCAGAAATCTGGAAAACATGACAAGAAACTAAGGAAATCCATCAAGATCGTCTTCATTGTAGTGGCTGCCTTTGTTTTCTCCTGGATCCCTTTCAACCTTTTCAAGTTGCTAGCCATCATCTCTCAGCTCCTGGGGCCAAACCTGCCGTGTCTTCCTTACAAGGTTGCCCTGGTGGGTATGCAGGTGAGTGGCCCCTTAGCCTTTGCCAACAGCTGTGCCAACCCTTTCATCTACTACTTCTTTGACTGCTATATCCGTAGAGCCATGATGAGGTGCATATATTCACAAGTGAAAGCTCACAGTGTCAGGAGCAGTTCTGACACTATGGACACTCGGCTAAGCCATTCCTTATCCTATTTTATTTATGGGGAGGATGCTACCAGGAAGAGGAGACGATCTATGTCCTTCTGACAAGAAACAGGAACTCTGGAGGGTGGCACTTACCTCACAGGTGGTGAGTGAGGTAAGGTCAAAAGAAAATAAGCAAAGAGGGGAAAAAGGCGTGAGAGTGAAAAGGACAGAGAACATAACTGGGAAACTGTTAGGTGGCTGCACATTGGATTAGAGAGCATATACTTCCCTGCAGTAAACTATACAACATGCTTATCTTGAATGTTACACTGTAACTACAGGTTCCTGCAAATTATTGTCATTGCCAAGACTAAATCCAAAACTATCAGAAAGGAATATGCATAATGTCTGAATCAAAATCCCAGTGCTCAGTACAAATGCCTACAAAAATAGATCAGATCACTCGATTACAATCTCTTACTCTCTTGTCACGTTGATAAAAGCTTTGAGTTGAAACATGTAGGTTGCTTAGCAAATAATTAATAGATGATGTATTTGGAGTTTTGCTTCTTTTTTGATGTTTTGTTCATGGAATAAATATGAACAAATCAGGATTCTCTCAGAAAGTACTTGATATTCAAAGTTATTTGATGATTTTTATTTTGTATATTTTATTTTTATTTTTGTGTATTTTATTTTGTGTAATACTCATTACCAACATTGACAGATCTCACAATTTCATCATTTAGATTCCTGTCTAGGTGAAAATGTAACTCAAACATCCTGAAAACTGAAAGTCCAGAATGTAACTTAAAAAACAGATTGATTAGTTGTTGTAATCTCATGATTTTTAGAGAGTCTGTTTGGCAGTTTGGTGATTTTGGAATCCTTGGGTTGGTAACACTGCAGTCCATGTTGCAGAAAATCCAATATTGTCTGTTTATTTATCTACAATTGGTCATGAGTTACACAATGTTGTTACTAGCAATCTGCAAAAATGTCTTGACGCCCACCTTGCTGGGGTCATCTGATCCCAGCAGTCTTTCCTGCCCAAGTGCAGGGAGCTGGACCTGATGATCTGTAAGGTCCCTTCCAGCCCCTGACAGCTATGAAACTATATTCCTCGACTGTAAGAACTGCACTCCTCCAATTAGATTTTTAGTGTGGATGTTCATGAAAAGCAAAATTTACATGTATGTTTTGCAAGCCGTTAAATGCTTCAGATTGGTTTTCTGTGAGCTTTCATGATAAGCCTCATGCAAAAGGGGCACAAAGTTAAAAACATGAATATTACTGGGAGAGAAAAACATTTCCCGCATTTATTCAGCTCTGGGTCTTGATTTTTCCTGGTAGTTAAAACCCTCAACAATCTTGTAGAAATGTATGCAACAGAGAACTGTGTGGTTTATATTAGAAACAATCTCTTTACAAAAGTACAGGATGTCACAAGCTCCACAGTTCACACAGCAAAGGCAGATGAGCTCTGCTGGGCAAGCCAGCAGTGGAGTTCTATAGAGACAACTCACTTCATATTTCTCTTTTTCCCTCCTCTATTTTTCAGCAAATTAAATACCAATCTCTCTTTAAAAAAAAAAAAAAAAAGTGTCATGTTTAGCTAATTAGCACTTGTAATTCTAATTGTAAATCTCTATCGGTTATGTTCATTCAGCTGGGACTGCAACATGCCCCAGCTTTTCTGCTTTTCTGTCAAATGCATACCTTAATGTGTTATTGCTTGTCATAATAAATCTATACCATAAAGCATCCAGCATATGCAATGTGCCTGAGTTCAGACATGGTTTTTCTGAGTTTTTGCGATGTCATCTTTCCTTCTTTCCCTTTAGCCTTTCTAGATCTAAAACAAGTTATTGTGAAACTTACAATACCTTAAGACAGCAGGAGCATCTTATCATCACTATGTGATAAAACAAAATGTTGCAATTCTTGAAGACAGCTGTAACCCTTTAAGGTTAAAGAGAATGTGACTTTGTCACTGGCAAGAGTTATCCTATACATGATTTGTTAAAAGAAAAGACTCTTTCTGTTCTTCTTGTGCTGCACTCAAATACCTGTGAGGGGTTGATTCAGATTTTATTTTTTTTCTTTGCAAAAAAGGAAATGATGTTTTTTCTTATTTTGGGAGAATGCTTGCCAAAAACATGATGCTTTAGCTGTTTAAGGAACTACCTCACGGATCTTCCATTACTTTGACTAGAAAATTTATGGCTAAATCACCTCAGTTGTTCTGAAAGTTTTAACAACAGAGTATCTTTTCTTATTAGATTTTCACACTCCTGCCCCTCACTTCTCCCTTTTCATGACACATATTTTCTCTTGTATTGTGTTCATGCCCCTGCTCCCTGGTTGCTTAATTTTACCTCTTATATTTTTTGATTCTTCCTATTCCTCCCAAGGGAAGCCTGAACCCAATAATCCTTTAAATGCATTCTAGTCCTACAGCATTTGAAATGAAACAAAGCATTAGATCACATTCTGATCCCTAATCAGATTCTACTTTGTAAGAGAAACTCTCTTGAGAGCAGATCTCATCAGATCTCTAATCCACAGAAGTCATCTACATCACTATGCCAGCTTCCTAAGACAAAGAACTTATTCAGAAGCCTTAAAGTCATAGCTCAGGCCACCTTCATAGCTGATGGCACTACTTTATCAGCAAGTACTGATCAGATTAAATGTATTATGAAAGATAAGGCTAAGCCCTTCAAACCAGGAAACCTATTCATTATATTCCATTACAAATATGCATCATTTTCGCTTACCTAGAGAGGTGGTAGAATCTCCATCCTTGAAGGTTTTTAATGCCCAGCTCAACAAAGCTTTGGCTGGAATGATGTAGTTGGGAATAGCCCTGCTTTGAGCAGGGGGTTGGACTAGATGATCTCCTGAGGTCCCTTCCAACCCTTATTTTCTATGAGTCTATGATCATGTTTTAAAAGACTTTTACAATACCAGTTATTCCCCTTAACCTAGCTGGAAGAATATCAGTGTCTCTAGAATAAAATTAGACTTCACACAACTGTAATTTAGCTCTGGTCTTTTGTTTTTAATCCTTGAAAGCATAAAAATGGTAGTCAGAATTCATTCTACTGAGAAAATGCACTGCAGCCATTTCCCTTAAAACTTCAGGATCTGCCTCTAAAACAACTGAATGAATGTGCTGACCTTTACAGAATGGGGCAAACTTATACACAAAAGCTACAGCAAAAGCTTAGTTTAGAAGGATAAAACCGTGAAGGAAACTATTAGTCCAACACAACAAAGTTCTTCATACTTATATTTTATTAGGTGCAAGTGACAAGGGATGTATTTGGTAGCCATGTTGGTCTGAGACAAAAAGAAATGCAAAACTCTACAACTCTTGGTTCACAGATGATACCTTTTATTAGAGTTTTGCATTTCTTTTTGTCTCAGACCAACACAACTACCAAATATATCCCCAAAACATGGAAGATGCTGAATTTTAGCCAATTTTGGATTTAACTTCATTGCTGAACAACAAGAAAGGGTTCTACACCTCCCTATCTGGTTGCCATCTGACACTACCAGGGAAGGAATCCTGTCTTATCTGCACAACAAATAGCAACTCACAAAGACACTCTCGTGGAACCAGAGGTAGAGTCTTCCTTCTTCAGCTTCTGTGCAAAAATGAAGTTTATCTCCTACCTATGAGGACTTTTTACCATCTTTAATTTTCCCTGAGCCTGAGGAAGGGCGTGAGCCCAAAAGCTTGCAGAAAAAGATATTTTTGTTGCGACTTTTGAGTTGGTCTCATAAAAGGGGTCATCTCTGAACCAAGAGATGCTGTAACAATGCACTTCAAAACTGGTTTCACTCTGACTATTGTGAAACTAATTGTTTTGAAGGTTGCCTTCTGCTTAAACTAGATTTACATTAAGTTACGAAAATAGCAATGCATGAGCAAACATTTCTAGAATTTGGATTAGTTCTGATCATGACTACACACCTGTAGATATCTTTCATGCATAGTGCTGGTAAAAAAGATAAGTTCCTATCTAAAAGGTGTGTATAGTCATGATCAGAACTCAAAACTTCTGACTTCAGTAGGGTTGTGGGATTTCACCTTGGCTTTCAAATCCCAGCTCTGCACAGCACACTTCCTGGACGCAACACACCATAATGTATCTGTGCCTCTACATTTGTGTATGAAGAATGATGATGATAATGTTTGCTGATCTCAGGGGCACTGTGAGGATAAACCCAATAATGTTTGCCAGTTATTCCAAATCACCAGTGGTGAGCTCTCCGGACAGTAAATTCTTTGGGAAGAGAATAGTTTTTGTTATATGTCTGTATAGTACCTAGTATAATCAAATACTGGTACACAGAGCTACTGCAATACTTAGAAATACAATTTTTCAGGTCATCTTAATCATGAGGATTCAGAAGACCGACATATTCACAAAAAAATGTAAATCTCAGAGTTTCAGGAATTTTAGTGCACAGGATTAAGGATCCAGCATCCCTACTTAGAAGTGAGTTACTGTTACTCTCCAATTTAAAACATTTGGATAGCCCACCAGGAGAGGAGCAACTCCACATGAATTATATACCATTGTAGATTACCATATCATCAAAGCAAACAGTTTGCACCAGCCCATGAAGCAAAATTCACTTGCATAAAAGCATTCACTGAATACTCAGGAATATCACATATTTAAAAAAAAATGGTTTGTGAGCAAGGAACAGAGCTAATCTTACACTCAATATTTATCACAAGTGGAAAAAAAAACCCCAAACCCTAACTCATACTAGCTCATGTAATGGATCCCAAAGCAATTATCATATAAACAGGTATCAAACTTAAAGGGGAGGGGGGAGTAGAAACTATCCTTTATTAGCTCCAATAGCATCATAATCATTATCACAGGGCACATCCACATGAGCTGTTTACTGTGCAGTAGACTAATTAGCTGCACAGTAAACATTGAGCATCTACACATGTGCTCCTTTTAAACTGGAGTAAATTCGTTTATTCTGCAGCAGAATAGTACTTGTAAATACCAGTTCTATCCTGCTGTGAATTTTCTTACTCCACAGTGGCCCATGTTTAGACACTACCCCAGCTGGCTGGGGCAAAA